ATATTTAAGGAGCAGGATATGCCTAAATATATATAAAAGGAAAAGTAATAACCTTGTCAAATATATTATATATATCTAGTCTAAGTGCTAGCCTTCTTTCTAGCTCTTTATTATATAAATTAGGGCTTTTAAGTAGTTTTAATAAGAAGGCCTTATATATATAAGATCAGAATAATAATATAATCCTTAAAGCTATTAGATATAAAGGTCTTTATATTATTAATTAAATAAGTTCTAAAGCAACAAAGTTTATTTATCTTATATAATCTACTTTAGTAAATTTAACTATATATAGTATAGCTAAATCTAATATATTATTAAAGCCCTTTACCTTAAAAAAGATACTACTATAAATTATAGTCTGTAATGCCTTCTCTAAGCTACTTGCTAATTATAGTTAACTAATAGTCTCTAAGAAAGCTATAACTAATACTACAAAGGAATAATATTAATTATAGCACAAAAGATTTGTCTATATAAAAGAGAAGAAATTACAGAATTTATATAAGATTATAATACTATAAAAAGCGATTTATAAGCTAAGTAAGATAGACATCTGTAAAGTATGTAATCTGACTAAGATAAGAAATTAAACAAATGCTTAAGTCTCTTAGTATAAGGTTAATCTTCTTAATCTTATATTAATTAATATTTATAGCCTCTTTCTAATAGTATTTAGTAGCGCCTAATACTTTCTAGAGATTATTAATAACTATTTTAGGAAGTTATAAGTAATCTTAATTAAGGATTAAAAAGAAGTAAAGGATTACTTTAAGAAGTAGCATTAGAGTAAAGAACTTATTATAAGGATAAAGTTAAAGATAATCTAAAGTAATAATGCTAAAGAACTTAAATAAACCCTTAATAAATAAAGCCAACAAATAAGAATTAATATATAATATACTATCTTATATACTTTAAGTCAAAACAATATAGCTAAATATATAATTCAGATAATAAAAAACAATATCTAAGCAATATTAAAGGAATCTGAGTTACTACTTAAACTATAAAATGAAGCAGCAAAGACTAAGGCATATATCTGTAACCAGACTATAGTTGGCCTAGAGATAAATAGATAAAGAATCATCCCTAAGGAAGCCTAGACTAGAACAAAACCCTTAATTAATCATATCCAAATCTGAGGATATAAGTATTATTTGTATATAAATTCAAAGTTACTACCAGCATTAAAGAGATAAGACAAGCTGATAAACTAGGGCTGAGTAAGAGTATTTATAAGATATAAAGAGAATACGACAAAGTAGTTTTATATTTATATACTAGATCTCAGATATATAACTCGTTCCTTAGTTATAACATTTAATAAACTCTAAAAAAGTAAAACTATTGACCTTTATATAAGAGGGATCCTTAATTCTCTATTAGATTATATATTAAAAAGACGACCTTGAAAGAAGCCTATTACTAATTAAGATACTAAACTAAATTTAGTTATATTATATATAATTAACTTAATTAATTAGGTATTTCTTATACTAATAACAAAGGAAATTAACTTATTAGTAAAGGCACTTATTAAAATATTAATTAAAGTTTCTTTAATACTAGATAATTAGAAAGACAAAGAGATTATTATAATAGAAATAAAAAAAGATGCTAAAAAACTAGGTCTTTAATAATAAATAAATAGACTTACTAAGGCAAGATTATAAGTAATAAGTAAGCAAACTTAAAATAATAATAAAAATAAGTATTATAAATTATAAGATTAAAAGATTATAAGAGCATATATAGTACATTAGCAAAAGATCCTAATTCTAATAACGTATAAGTAGGCAATCTTAGACTTTATCTTTAATATAGATTAGACTAATATAATTAAGTAAGAACTTATTATATTATAAGTAAATAGGATCTAAAAACAAGTTATCCCTTTTATAGAATCTAATATTATTCTAAGCAAATAAGTATTTAATATTAAGTATATAAAAAATAAGGGAGTAAATTAATTTAAAACTAGACTTATAATTTAAGGTTTCTTATAAGTCGCACAATTCTTACTGCCATCT